TTATATATTCATCGACTGTATTATTATCATTAGTGTACCTAATTACGTCTGACGATAAATATGCATCGTGTATTTCGTTACGAGGTGCTTCGTTCTTCCAAGGATCCAATCGGACACTCTTACGGCCCTGTGTGGTCGTTCAAACGCAAGTGGTTGCAGATATATTCACAGGTACTAAGCACTTCCAAAACGCCATCTTGCGCACAGTTTTCGCATCCTTCTCTCACCTTGCCGTGGCCTAGCCTGCGGCATAATAATGGCCTTCTGGTACCATCCACCGGTCACCTTTCGCTCGTTCACGCGCCGCGAACACGATGACGTGCGCTCTTACCGCTTTCTGGAGGTGCCAATGATATTTATGCAACAGGAAAATCCGAAAATATGAAGCCGCAGTTCAGCGAAAGGCTTTACTCGGAAGTAATAGGAGATTCGAGTTGCGCCAACGAAATGTCACGTGTGTCAGATATTGCCAAGTGTTATAAAATGTTATTGACGTCATCGACTCATCGGGTTCGAGGATTTCAGAATCTAAAAGATCTGGAGATCGTTGTCAAAGAATAACGTCATTCCCGAGGACCATTCCAGCGATTCAAAATATCATGAAATTCGAGAGACCATCATTCGGAGAATCTGTTGGTAGTCTTCGTCCCGATTCATATAAATTAGCAATCGGAGCATTCGCAGTTACCGTACGTCACGAGTCGGACAAAAATTTAGTTATGCGGTAAATGGTTTTGCGGTGCCGATTGTAACGGTACGAAGTACTAGGAAAAAAAACTACGTATAATTTATTACGCTCGTATTTTTATACAAGAAATTAAATACGTTTACAAGATCCCTTCTCACGCATTACTCAAACTATTTGATTTTTAAATCCTTTTGCACTTTATACACAATATTCGCTGACTCTTGAAACAGCTTTTTCTCGTATTCAGTCATATGCATTCGTATTATCTGTGTGATACCATTTTCGCCAACAGCGCAAGGTAGAGACAAGAATACATCGTGACATACGTTATGATGACCCTAAGAAGATAATTTTGATTAGTATAGAACATAATAGTTTTGCATACCAATATTAATTTTTTTATGTTACATTTTATTTAAAAATATTTTATTTTCATTTTTGAATATGTACAAAATACAATACGCGCGTGTTACTACATTTGATTATCAATCCAAAAATATTTTATTTTCGTGAATTATATCAGCTAATATTTAATATCACGAATTTTTTGTTTATTTTCAAAAATTAAATTGTAAATTATTATTGTAAATTGATTGCAAATATATAATTTATAGTATTTATACCTGCACTAAGGTCGAAACTGGCATAATAGCTTGTGTATTGCGTAATATAGCTATTATGATGTCGGCTGCAGAAAGTCCAATGGCTGTATTTGAATATCCTTTCAGACAACGCACCATGGCACCTCTAAAAAATAAAAAATATTAAATTCTTACAAAATATTGCAAAAATTTTCTTTTTAATTGAAGTTGAAGTTATTGTTTAATTATACACATGTGCAATTGTAATTGTTTGCTGATTTTGTACATTACAATATAATTTATTTAAATATTATTTATAAAATATATAAATCTAAATTATAAATTAAATCTTTATAAAAGAAATACAAATACACTATCCGACGAGTATGTAAAAAAACTAATAATTTCTCTACTCATTTAAAATGATTGAACTTACACTTTCACTACATATTTTGCTATTTCGAACCACTTTTCATCGTCCGTCTCGAGACCGATATTCGGGATAATATCGCGGAACTGCATTCCCGCAACGCTCACTCCGGACCAGAGCGGAACTAGAAAACATCGAATGATAGATCGGGCTTAGTGCATAACGTCGCCTTTCTCCCTGTGTCAAATGTCACACATCGATCGATAGAGCTCACCCATACTGTCTCCATGTTCACCAATGATGTACGCTTGGGTCGAACTCGGCGCTATTCCTAATCGATCAGCAATCAAGCAGCGAAATCTTGCTGTATCCAGATGAGTCCCACTACCGATTACCTGATGAACCGGCAATCCACTTAATTTCCAGGTAACCCATGCCAAGATATCCACTATATAAGAGAAAATCACATTTATAATTTATCAAATTTTTGTGTATAAACATTATAAAACTAACACTATAAAACTAGATATTAATAAGAAGCTTTTACTGTTTATTTAAATAAAAAAATCTTTTCAATTTTTATTAAATATCAATAAATATTTATACTATTATTCATACTATGTGTATATTATACAAAAAAATGATATTTTCTCATGTGTATAACATCAAGATATTTTTTTAGGGAAATATCGAATAAATATTTAATCTGCAATATTTGAAATTTTTTAATACTATATTTATAATGTTACTTTTATTAAAATCTTCGTTTCTTATAAATAATGAAAGTCTTCTTAGTACTTCTTAGTAAATAATAAAACTATTTAATATATTAATTAATTTTAACCTGGATTGCTAATGACAATAAACACCGCATTTGGACTATAATTTACTAGAGGTGGTATTATGGTTTTCAATATTTCTGAATTTCTCTGCACCAAATCGAGTCGAGTTTCACCCTTCACTGGTCGTACACCCGCGCAAATAGCTACGACTTTCGAATTACTCGTCACACAAAAATCTATAAAAGAGATATTTTTGCATCTTTAATTAGTAATAAAAAAATTGTTGTACGTGAAAAATCAATTAGACTTTTCATAATATTTTTGTAAGACAGACAGTTACGATTATAATATATTTGTACATGAACAAATAAATCTATGATTTTCGTGTAACTAATATATTATATATTCAATGAATCCATTACCTGTATCATATTCGATCTTTGGATCCCCTATAAATATAGAGCTATGGTGGTAGTCCATTCCTTCGCCTTCCAGTTTTTTAGGAAAAACATCTACCATTGCGATATGCGAAGTAATTCGCTAATATTTAATAAAATAATAATTACAAATTTACAAAATGATTACTAAAAATTTAAATTTTATTTCCATCGTTTATTTAAAATACAATGGACGATGTATAAAATATCATTATACATATAAAAATATATGAAAGAAACATATGAAAGTATACATTATAATGTTTATGCATTTCCTTTGATTGTATTTATAATACACAAATTTTTATTTTTATTTGAAATAAAGTAAATTCAATAAGTAATCATAATTTAAATTATATTTAAAATTCCAATTCCATAAAAAATTTAAAAGAGTAACCTGAAAAAGAAGTGAATTTGCAAGGGCAACGCCGACCATACCAGCACCAACAATAGTTACTTTATGGCAACAGTCTCTAACTGGTTCCGACATCTTACATAAGAGTTCTTCTCGCAAGCACGGCGAACTAGAATTCAAATAATTTGCTTTTCTTTAATATTTCGGCAAAATATTATATTGTAATCGTTCATGAAACTATTTTGTATACTTAAAATTAGCTATCTAAAAAAACTGATTAGTTTCTTCGAAAAATTTTTTAGTGATTAAAAGTCTTTAGTAACTATTAGAAATGTATTAGATTTAATGCGAATAATAATAATTTGATCTTTTATGATAACGTAACTGATTTATGTGTAAAATTCTTTATACATATAAAATATAATGAAAAAAATGAAAATAAATGAACAATGTGTCGCCATATATAAGTATTAGAAATTATAATTATCTAAAATCGTTTTAGATTAATAATTGTAAATATAACCAAAGAGAATAAATCAAATTCTGTCTATAATACTTTGTCTAAAATTACAAATATGTCATTACATGTCATATATATATATATATATATATATATACACACACACACACATATGACACAAAAGAACTATTACACAAAATTAAGCGCTCTCTGTGCTCCCGAACCAGAAGTCGCATCTTTCCCAAAAGATTTTCCTTTATCACGTCCTAAGATTGTTGTCAAAATTGTCGGCGGTAAAGTGCGAGTATATCGATTCCTGACGAAATCTCTTGTTAATGTCACGCGTGTAAGATTTCTCAGACATATCGGTAATAACGAGTTTGAAGGTGATAAAACCATTGCTCCTATCACTCATCGGTTTTGTAAACGTCGCACGATCGTTTTCACCCACGCCCGTCACATTGCATGAAACCGTTTTTTTTCTTGAAAAGAGAGAGTACACTCTGTAACTATAATCGGCCGACATAACATTCTTGGCATACGGCCATCATGATCATGTCGGTTCGCCAATTGTTAAACACATCCATGGTTACTAAACTTTATTATAATAGGCGTACAAAAAAGATGTATAAAGAGAAACATGTTTAAAATTCATTAATAATTTAAAAATGTTTTTTTTTAATTAAAATTTAATAAAATCATACGTTATTTTATTCATACGCACATAAAAAAATATATATATACGTATGACTTTCATAATAAAATCATTCATTATACATTATCATACAATATAATAAACAATATTGTTTAAATAAAATATGCATGAAAGAATGATCGATATAAGTTTTAAATTTTTTATTTTTATATTATTTGTTATACATATTAAAAAATTATTTTTTTTTATTTTTTGTACCTTATCAGCGGTACATTCGGTATGTAACCTAAAATGCTTGAAATATTTATATTGTGTGTGTCAAATTTATTAAATAAATAATAGCATAAATAATTATAATGTTGTAAAATAAATATTTCCAAATAATAATGAGAGATGTTCCTGTCATAAATAAAATAAAATTATAATAATAAAAAATAAATATAGCATCAGAAATACTTTTTATTCTTTTTCACACATACACGAGCAGTATATATGTCGATTATATAGCAAATATTTTTAAAAATTATTTTATTAACTTGTATATAATACTGTGTTCATTTAATAAATACATCGCAGTAAATGTAAGTTATATGTATATAAAAGAGCATCAAAAACATACATAAATTTATTAAGATAAAAAATAAAAATAAAATAAATAAGGATAATATATTTTTAAAATTTGAGGCCTTCTTGCACCTTGTGCATCATCGCTGAAGATGTATGCAATGATGCAAGTTCATCATCTGTTAGCTTCTGCTGAACAATGTGCGTGACGCCATCTTCACCCAATGTGCAAGGTAAAGATAAGAATACTTCTTCCTTAATTCCATGATGATTCTGAAAATTATTGAAT